TGTAAGTAAGGTTAGTAAACGTGTAGCAGTCGCGTTATCTAACAGGCTGCGTTAACACGTGTTATACAGCTTTTTTTTAACTGGTTGAATATGACGATTTTTATTGTGACACATTTTATTCACATTACTTTTTTCGTGCACTGCATGTTCCACCTCGGAGTATTTCTCTCCTAAAGTGGGACATATCAACAGCATTTTAATATGACTGTAATTGGTCATATTTATATACATCAGCTAGACCCAGAAAGCTCCACCAGTTTATGTTTATTCCTAGAGTGCACTGGAAAATTAAGCACATGTGTTAAAAAAGTTGAAGCTCACTACTTTACTGGTAATAGTAATGTGTCTACAGTTTATAAACGTTTGGGTTTCAAACTCAATTGCAGTATGAGGAGAAAATACAATCTTACCATTTTATCAAATGTAACATATTCACAACTTGATAACGAATATTCATGCAACTTCATGCAAGTGCCCAAACAATATTGCAGAATGCCAAGTAGTAAGTAACACACTAAAAAAAAGTTTTTATGGGCTTGATGCTTCATCGATAAGCAAGTCAGTAAAATCTTCCTAATAGATGTATAGAATTATTTATACGTGAACAATAATGTACATAACGACTCTGGTGAATATGATAAGAAATACATTTCTCAATTAAATTCAAACTTGGAGAAATGTATTTTAAAGTTCAAAAAAACCAGCCATAGTTATAATTGCTGTAAACAGTCACTGTTATTTCAAAATGAGAATAAATATGAAAATCAACTTGTATTTATTGAACTACGTTCATAGTATTAACAATTTTAAGTAGGTACGCAAATTGCTTCTTCAGTACTAGAATCATGGGTTAGCAGAGTTAATTACTTTTCTTTCACAAGCCATATAGACTATCAAGATCACCTTGTTGCGTCATACTAACACTGCGAATTGTGTTATTACGCAGTATAATTGTTAACGGTAATTCGTCTACAACAATAATATTATAATCGTCACAAACCGTTAATCCGTTAAAAAACAAAAGTTTACCTTTTGTTCTATGATGCTCTCAAGACGACTTACAGACCATGATTCTGATTGCCAAGATGCAAAATAACAATCATACGATATGGTCACTTGGGGGGTTGTTTACCCTAACACTGCGTGAACAATAATACAACTTCCATAAAAACTCGTACTATAATGTAAGAAATTCTACCGCTAAACCTTAAATATTTGACATTTTCCTTAGTCTGGTTAAGAAAGTTTATTCTATTTTATTAAATATGCCAATGCAAATAATTGCGCAATTTGTTTTCCCTCAGCCCGCCGATCTGCATCTCGCATAAGAATTTTTCTTGGCAGCGGTTGGAAGTAACTTGCAACATTTTGATCAGCTAACACTTGCAGCCAACTCAAATGACCACCGAATCCGCCCAAGATGATGCACAAAAAAAGATTGTAGAGGATGCAGCTGGCACGACGGCCAAGACCACCACGACGACAACCACAACGACTACTACGTACACTCGCATTACAGAGTACTTGCAGGAAGGATGGGACACATTAAAACACAAATTCGACTCCCACCCCAAGCTCGTAAAGAACGTCACTCTGTTTAATAATGTTGAAGAACTGAAAAAGACTGTCGCTCGTGATTTGGTGGACAAAGAAGCCCATCCTGAAATAGAAAGGGTTGCATACGTTAGACAAGGAAATGAATTGAGTGAAGAGGAAATAAAGTTTGTGCAAACCAGAAAGAAAAAGGCAAGGGAAAGTTTTGCAAAATTTATCGGCGTTGATCCGAGTGAAGTGCATGAAGATGATGTTCCCGTGATTGCTATTACTGGAAGGTGAGAATTGTTCGAGAAAGGGAATTATCACAGACAACGAGCTTGATAGGATACAAGATTTTGCCATTCCAAGTTAGTTTTAGAATTGCAATCCCCGTATTAATATAATTTATCATCATTATTACAGCGGTGGTGGTATGAGATCTAATATCGATACCTTTGGTAAGCTCAATATAACTCGATTTATCATGCTATTGTTGATTTCAATATTTACCACGACACTCTTGTCTCTCAACAGGCTATGTCCGCGGGATGAAGAAGGCAGGTTTATGGGACTGCGTCACGTACTTTACTGGTAATTGCCCTTTCTGCGTAAAAAAAAAAATTTTTTTTATCAATTCACGCGCCCATTCTATTCATTTTAACGTTAACCCCAGGTGTCTCTGGAGCTTGTTGGGGCATAGCAACTTATTATACCGTATCGAACGGTTCCGTTGATGCTACCATTGACCAATTCAAAAGCGCTTATACCATTCATCCATTCTCCCCTCCCTTTATTCTAAATCTTGCTAAATTGGAAAATGGACTTGAGTTGACATTTGGCGCGGTCGAACGAAAAAGACTGAGAAATTGTCCGACCAATACGACTGATATCTATGGAGCTGTGTTAGGAGCTTATTTCTTTAGGAAGGACGGGAAGCTGGATCCCAAAGATTTCAAGTTGTCTTTGCAAAAGAGATTGATCGAAAACGGGGATCATCCTATGCCGATTTACGTCGCGTGAGTATGGGGGCGAGCTATTTATTTCATACGACGGTTCTTGTTTTTAATAAACGTCTGTTGTCGTTTTATAACAGAGTTCGTCATGAACGACCGTGGAGAGATGTCCAAGAAGCACAAGAGGTATCAAAATAAACTTTTATGGCTTATCATTCCATGTACGATTACTTTAGTGATTTACCCTTGTCAACTGCTTGGCACATCTTATTCATTTTTACAGATTGAGAATGGTCTCGATGAAGATCTTGACAATTTTGATGATAAAGAACACGGCAGCAAAAAAGCTTGGTATCAATGGGTTGAATTTACTCCATTTGAAATAGGCAATGATGAAATCGCAGGTATGGATATTTTCGGTTATTGTCGCTACTCAGACTTCTCTTTATTTAATTACGTATCCTTATTCTATTACGTAGCATATATTCCATCCTGGGCGTTTGGGCGTACCTTTGACAAAGGTCAAAGTGTCGATAAAGTCCCTGAACAAAATTTCGGTTTGGAACTGGGCTATATGACCAACGCTCAGAGTGCCCCCACGCAGAGATATGTCCACTTGGTAGATCGTGGATTACCGGCAAACTGGATCGGTGAGTTGGATGATATGGTGGTAATGTTGCGATCCATTTGATCCATCATTGACGCATACTGACAGTTCATATCTTGTTCTTATAGGAAAAGAAATACGTCAAGCCTCTACTAAAGTAAAGCAAATTTCCCCTACAATACTGATATTCTCAACAAATATCGCGCTACATTTTCTTCATTCACGTTTTCTCTACGTCACAGATAGGTGAACGTTTAGGCGCACACAGAGTTGACGAGCTTGAAAGTCATCATCCTATTCACACTGGTCGTGATCCTAATCCATTCCATCTCCTAATCGGTCCACCATATGAGCCTGGTTTCATAACTGCGGATTATATTCGTCTGCTTGACGCTGGTAAGTTGAAAGTATGCGCGTGCGTTCATGGATGTGGATGCGTTCATGGATGTGTGTATACACGTGTATTACCTACACTGGTTTCGTTGCCAACATGAAACTGTTTGTAAAGCAATGATTTTTTTGTAGTGATTCTATTTCATCTTTTTTTTTTGTAGGAATGGACAATAATCATCCATGGTACATTCTTACTCGCGCCAATCGCAACGTAGACGTAATACTCACCGTTGACGGGAGCAAAGAGACGATGTACGATGACTTTTTTGATCGTATGGCCAAGCAATTTCTTTCTCGGCGGGGCATCCGCTTCACTCCTTTATCACCCTCGACTCGCCCATCTATTCCTCAGACTCTTACGCCCGAATTGAAAGGTAAACCTGATGCGATACATGAAGCATTTAAGGATGCATACGTTCAAGTGTATCAATGTGAACCTGTGGATGAGCGTGGTGAGAGTGTTATCCAGGGAAGAGATATGAGACTTGTGTACATGCCCAATCTACCTTGCAAAAAATACCCCGAGTTTGATCCTATTAATGATAAGATTTGTGGAACTAGTAATTTTGTGTTCAGTGAGAACGATATTGATACGATCGTTGGATGTGCTGAAGCGTGTTGGGAGGAGAGCTTGGAGACAGTGAGAGAGACACTAAGAAGCGTATGGGAAAGTAAAAAGAAAAAGAGGATGGGTGGGCAGTAGAATACTGAAATTCGAATTTGGGTATATAAATAAGACAGTACTATTCGTATTCCCACAGAAACACGTTTTCGTGCCAAGTTGCTTTGGTATGTACAAATAAAGATCATCCTTATTTATTCTGCACAATGACAAAGGTCAAAGGTCAAACCCCCTTTGCGGACATTGGGTAATCTATTTCGTCAAACGATCTAACTCGATTCAGAAATGATTATTTGCTATCAAATTACCAAAATGATCAAATAGCATTGCGTGTAACTGCCACAAGTCAAAATGATAGTTACAAATTGTTGAGATTCGCTGAACTTTCTACGGTCCATACTCTTTATCAGAGGGTCGAACACTATAAATATCTCGCACTACCCTTTTTCCAGCGATAATTGTCTCTCGATACGTGCGTATTTTGCGCTTTGGATGACTTGATATATATCTATACATTTATCTACATAATATATAATATATCGAACAAACATATATAATATACCACGCCAACGCAACGTTAACACCAACACTCATTGTCAATATAAACGGAAACCATGTTCTCAAGCGCAAGTCTGCTAGGCATTACCCTACTTTTTGTTTTCGTTCTTCTCCCTACACTCTGGTCATCCTTTATATTTAGAGCAGACAACCCTATCGCATGCAATGTCATAGCAAAAGCGGATTTCGAAGACCACAACGCCGGTCATAACATGTCTGGAACAATTATATTCTATGAAACAATGCCAGGAAAACTTGAAGTCCAATTGGATTTCTCTGGCGGCTTACGTAAGGACAAGAGTCACGTCGAATACGAAATGGAAGTTGTGGATGAAGTGGAAAGAGCTATACACCGTATCGGACACTTTACAATAGACAATCATTATGAGGGACAGAGCGAAGAATCAAATAGGCAGACAGTTTTATCGAAACAATTTATAATCGGAGACGCAATGAAAAACTTGGGAGTTTGTTCAGGGGAGGATAGCATTGTTGGACTGTTATTAACTGTCAAGAGAGATGGAATTATCGTAGCTGAAGAAGATATAACATCAGAGTGGTTAGGACCACGTTGATTATAGTTTTATTGTAATTTATATAATGTATTGTATTTGTTTATGGACATTTTATCAAGTTGATGACACATTTCAACGAGTCTGTTAATAGATTAGAAATAATAAAAGCAGGAACCTGCTTCCCTACCAGCTAGATTAACTTCCCTACCAGTTAGATTAACTTTCCTGCCATAGGATTCAAACCGTTTTTTTTTACGTATATGAGTTTTTCTAGAAAAACAAAAATAGCATACGAAACGAGAGTCTCCTTGGAAAGGGTGATACACAATGTTTATTTATATCTCTTTTTTCTACTGGTTAATAGACTTGAACGTAACATTGAATATCACACATGTTTGTAATCATAATGTTAATTGGTAAAACCATTAATTAACTATAAACAACGCAAAAGCAAACAAAAAGATTTCGTGTTGCTTGTATTATATTATATATCACAGTAGCATGCTGTGTTTCAATCGCCATGCCATCATCATCGTATTAACGTCTTTGAAATGTTTGTATCTTTACATCTATGCATATACGGCATTAAAGTTTGTTCCAACATGCGGGGCTATGAGCGAATTGGGAGGCGGGGGGGGGGGGACTACAAAACTTAGAATCCCACCTACGGATGTAAATTAAGAGAAGAACAAAAAGAAGAAAGATTATATGGATGGCAACGTGTGTGTGCAGATAATGTGAGCACATGTACAATATAATTATAAATTTCTAATAAATGAGATTGTTACTACCTCTTGTTTAGACTTTGGGTTATCTTTAGTTCCACGGATTTCAAAATGCCGAATTTTTTTCACAGTGACCAATAAAATTATCATGATAGATGTCTTGTGAGTGATTACAAGAAATCCGTTGAATGCGACCTAAGGATGCTGTATCGCAATTGCTTGCGCTTTAGAACGGGATTTACAAGACTGAATTGAGGTCAACTGGGTGTAAGTATGCTGGTCGGCGACGGCATTTTGTAATGCAATGTGTTGTTGTGTTCAGCTATAACGGTCAACTCATCAGCACATGAGATATATTGGCTTGCGATATTCTTGCTTTAAACAAAAAGTCTACGTCATTGTCTTTTCTGTCGGCAAACTTACGTATAACATGGCTCTCACTTTTGATAGTCAATATAGAAATAAGAATTAGACCATCCCTTATGCTGTGGGAGAATACTTTACAAGGCCATCGCATTGTAAATAAAAAGTCATTCATTTTTAATCTTTATTAGTAGTAACAATGACTCATTTTAGACTAACTGTCTATATAGATTATACGACTCGTAAATGAGGTTTAGCATAGTACGATGGCGCTCTAAATGACTATTAGTTCTATTGATAATAAGATAAATGAATATACTGTCGTTATTGATGATTAGATATTAAATGAGCAAGTCTTGCTGTATGCAAAACCGACCTGCCAATACTCCAAATGTCTTATTGAATGTTTCACTCGTGGTTTAGACCGACTGCTAAATAAGAATTCATAGTCTTTGGTTGGCATCGGGGTCGTATCCGGGTACGCCTCCTGCCAAGGCATACTTTAATAATCGTGTAACAACATTATTTGCTTAAAATGTTAGTCACTTGTTCTGCTAATATTGTCATTGAACTCGACAAAGATTCTGGCATTCCTTTTCCCTCATTGTTCTATCTTATTCATCCTTGTTAGCCTCTGTGGATGTTTCCATTAACATGCGCACATTTCTGTTCATAGCAATTACGTGATTTAGCGGGATAGGGTAAACGCAAGAGGACATGTATCATGTCATATAGATTGACTGTGACCATATGTGATATGACAGACCAAACAAAATGGATAAACTTTAATACCAAATAAATCAGAGATCATTAAAGAGCGTTATACAAACCATGTGAATATTCTCATGTTCAGTTCAGAATGGTGAAAGGGGTGAAAGTTAACAAGGAAAACGAAGAGGGAAAAAAGATGAATAATAATAATAGACTGTGGTTAAAAAAAAATAATAGTCAGGAGATAGATGAGAGAACTGTCATGTTGACTGTATCGAATGTATTAAGTATTGTTATTGTTCATCTTAAAAGGGGTCTCGCCAAGTATTCATGGACATTTTTGTTGAGTGCCACACCTCGAACATGTGGGATAATACGATGGAAGAAAGGGGGAGGAAGGCGAAAAAAAAATAATTCGAGATTTGCTATAATTACTGCCGATTGTTTCGACCGATTTGGTTAACGTAAACGATAATGAACCAAACAGCTACTGGCTACAAAGCCAAGTCTGATAAACTTTGTTACTGTATTTATGAAAGACTATTGTCTGCAAGTATAGTCGTTGTTTTTGTTGTTTTTTTTTGGGTCGTTACTTTATTCATTTCTGCTTATCAATTTTTTTGTAATGTGTGTCCTTGCAGAGATACGATGGTTGGTTGTGCATCCCTAAAATTTCCTCAGTTTATCTTCACCCATAATTAGTCATATTTACACCTTTGGTCACAAGGACAATTCAAAAGTCACAGACACTTGGATATCAGACATTGGATGTATGTCGTCAGGCCAGATAATTCCAAAGTTTATCGGGTCCCCGCAGTAATTCGATTAGTATTAGCATACAATACATCATATGCGCCCAGAATTAATTCTTATCCATTTTGTTTATTTAATTATTGATTGTCCCCCCGGAAAATTGGAAATTTTATCCGTAATGCATCATCGAAAATCTTCGATGCATGCAATTTGAGAGCCAAGTGTTCAGTTCTATTATTAGGTGAAAGTTGCAACGCCGGGTAGAAAAAGATTGACCCGCCTTAAACAATGGCAAGTGACATTGTCAGATGTTTTTAATGTCCGATTGTCACTGTTTCAATGTATTATCAGCCATAACACCCGCCACACTTGCATATATGCAAGATAACCATTGTGGCGATAAATTAACCCGGAACGCCACATTTTGGTATACCGGGATAATGTCTACCAATTTGGCAGTCTGTGGCACTCTCATGCACAACAGTTGACGTAGTAGACGGGGGTTGGCAGATTTCTGGTCACAGATGTGACTAATTCCAACAATACCTTCGGGCAACACGGTAACACTGCAGCATGATGTTACTGCGGTCCGAATTTGAAGTAAACATTAATCGGAAGGTCTTGATAAGATGGCATAATTTAAGATAATGTGAATAAGAGATAAAATAAATAAATGCATTGCATTGCACTAATTCAGAAATTGGTACAAATAAATAACTCATTTACAATCAGATAAATTAATGCATTATTATTGGACCTTGTATTCAATATTTGTGATTATATTGTTTATAAGAACAGGTTCGTTACATATTTATTTGCTTTTTCATACTTATCAACAGACATAGTTTGACATTAATGAATTCACCCACATGATATTGAGAAGGGGGAGCATCCCATCGAATATCGTAACATTACACCTTGCATAAATTCGAGTCTATTACTAAATTGCATGTCACAGCGTGGCCATATTATCCGTTCATTCTACTTACTATTATTATTAAAAAGCTTCGGATATGGGTAACGTTAGTAATTTAATCTTGCTCCTTAATGGTAAAACAACTAAAACTCAAAGTCGAGTTTACGACTGTTCATTAGATGCAAAGATTTACGCTTTTGCCCTAGTTACACAACACTAGCCACACAGAAATGATGGAGTCGGTAAAATATTCCTACCGGTCAGCCACTCGAATCAAAATATAAAACGGGGATGATTTTTGAAATGCAATTTGGCAGCGCGAACTAAAACCAACAGCAGTTTTAAAACCCATTGTTGCGTATCAATTTACACAAGCGATATTCGGTATAGCACTAGCTATAAAAGCCTTACCTATCCCACCTCGTACTTGTCTCAAAACACATAAAACAGATCAAGCATAGTTTCGTTGATAAACTGTATACCATAAACAATAATAACAACATCCTATATTCACATACACATTTGTGCCATTGTTATTTTGCTCACTTTACCCACAACAAAACCAAATGTCTCAAACTAGTTCAGCGGATCTCTTTCTCTTTTTACTCTCGGCAGGATCAACTGTCAATGCGCCATACAGCACCAATGCTCCACGGGGAACTCTCGGCGGAGAAGCAATCTTTGACGAAGAAGAATTTTCTGGCTCTATTAAATTCTACCAACTAACTACAGACGACAATATTTCAGTGTCGGCTAAAATTGACGTAGACCTGTCTGATGTCAACGCAATCTACGATTTATACGTATTACATAAAGAAGGGTGCAATCCTGAAGATGCCTACAACTACGAAGATTATCATGAAGACGCAAACGAGTACGCTTACTACAGACAGAAATACCAGCAACTTAATTCACGCAAACGACAACCAAGCAAGACGCAGTCCGAGACTACAATTATCTACAAGAGACGTCGAATTACAATTAAATTTCAAAATTCGGAAACAGATATGGACGATAACTTTAACTCTGGCGTGTTGACACCTCCGCTCGACAAAACGTTAAACAAAAGCGATCTTCTCGAATTATGTTTTAACCCAAAAGATATCATGTTTGATTTGACTCCATACGTATTCGCATACTTGTCAAAGGGTATTAGAATCGTACCTCTCCCTGTGGTCCATTTGAATAATGTTCTCAACCGAGACATTGTAATCAAAAAGAATGGGAAAATAATCGCACGGACGACCATTTTGAAAGTGTTTAATTAAAGTAACGCAAATTAGAACAATAGACAGGGCAATGGTTAAAAAAAAAAGTAATGGGACAATTCGATTTATTATCATCTAATAAGAGACAATACGAAACCAAGAGGAATTGACTATATGATACAAATTGGATAAAAAGTTAAACATAGAGACATTTCTTTCTTTATTCATTCTAAGACGTTGTTCGTTATTGTAATTATCTCTTTTTTTTTTATGTTTGACTTGTTCATTTATTTTAATTTACCTGGTTTTCTTTGTGTTTTTTTGTTATTATTATTATTATTATTTCCCCTTTACCCTTTTTGTTCTCTCATGTTTCATCTTTTTATCCGCTTTTTTCTGGACATTGAACACATCCAATTCCTTTTGTATATATGAAGTGTAAATAACGGTAATAGAAATTTAAGTTTGGTAAATTGATTGTAAGAAGGCGAGTACCGCTATGTATAATAAAATATATAACAAGCCTTCTCGATACATCTCTCAGCTGTAAGTATATAAAAAATATATATTAAAAATTATGCACTAAAAAGATAAGTACGGTTTCGGTTACACCAATACTAAGCATCCGCAGCTGACCGATGGACTGGGAGGGGATCTTTAAGAGACTATGATCATTCGGTGAAACACTGGCACAACCATAAAGTTATATTTAGAAAACAAATAATGATGATTAGAATATGTATATGTGATCGACCAATAACATATTAAAAGAAACGAAGAATAGAATGTCAATATATCTTGGCGATATACATACATTTGGGGCATAGTACCATATTAATATTTTTAGAGACACACATAGTCTTTATTTGTTTTATTTTGTCAGTTGTATGTGGGGGAAGGTACGAGAACTGACGGGGAGATTCCCCGAACTACGTAAGCTTGTTGACGTAATTAAGCAAAGAAAATGAATCAACTTGTGTGCAATACCCATTTTATAATAAACTTCTCAATAATATGCACATTCATTTTTACCCATTGTGACAACATTAGGTTAAGGGTTTTGTTTGCAATGAGAGACAATGAACCTGCAGTTTCGGAGTCGGTGTGGAATGTCTTTCTTCTCTTTCTTCTTTTTCTTCTTCTTCTATAATTAGTTTGTAAGGAAGAGAATGTTAGCAACCATATTAGTTGATAGGCTAGTTAATAACATCATAATAATAATCATAAATAACCATACGTTTTGCCAACGTC